CATGTGATCAAGACCTGAGCTGAGATCAAGAGTCAGACACAACCGAGCCACCCAGGTGCCACTGGAGTTGGTGTTCTTAACCAGCAACACAAATACAGTTTAATATGAGAAAAGATAAAATAGAATTCATCTTATAAGTCTATAGGATAAATTCTACATGTGATGGTTTATTTTATGTGTCAACTTGACCAGGCTACAGGGTGTCCAAATATTTGGTCAAACTTTATTCTGGCTATTTCTGAGAGTATTTCTGGATGAGTGCAACATATGAGCTCTCCTGAATCTCCAGCTTGCTGACTGCAAATCTTGGAACTTTTTAGCCTCAATAATTGTGTGAGCCAATTCTTTATAATAAATCTTTCTATATATGTACATCCTACTAGTTAGTTCTGTTCCTCTGGAGAACCCTAATGCACCAACATACCATATTACCATCTTCATAAATGCCCCCCCCAAAGCATTCAATAAATTCAAAACCCATCATGGTTAAAAAAAATAATGAAGAAAATTTTTAAACTGATAAATACGTTTGTGAAAAACCTACTGCAAACTTCCTACCTAGTGGTTAATGTTAGACATGTTCCTTTGGAAAATCAAAAAGATAAGAAAATGTCTACAACTACCACTTTTATTCAACATTGTACTAGAGACCCTAGTTACACAGTAATACAAGAAAGAGAAATAAAAAGCTTAAGGACTAGAGAGGAGAAAAACAAAACAATGTTGCTCCCAGATAAGTCTACACAGCAATCCCAAATAATGTATAAAAGAAAAATTATTCAAATTTCATATACTGATCTAACATAAAATATATAAATATCAATTACATTTTTATATACACAACAAACAGAAAATGTACTGAAATGGAAAATATTGTTTATAATGGCATCAAAAAGAGTAATATGCCTGGGGATAAACTGAACAAAAACTAAGCAAGATGTATATCCAGAAAATTATAAAACCCTATTAAAAGAATACCCTAAAGGAGTAAAGAGATAACCTTGTTTATGGATAAGACAGTATCACAAAAGATCTCCATTCTCTCAAATTTGATCTATAGATTTAATAAAACTCCAATTAAGAAATCCCAATAGGGTTTTTTGGGGGGAGAAGAGGGGGTTGGGAGGGGGAAACTTAAAAGCTGATTCTAAATTTTTTTTTAAAAAAGCAAAGCTGAAACTTAAATTTTTGAAAAAAGCTAAATCTCAAATAGCAAAACACTCCTTAAAAGAATGAAAAAAGTGGGGCAGTTGGCCCTACCTCCTATCAAGGCTTCTTAGTGGAGAAAGGCGGGACTATTCAATAAATGATTCAGAACAACTTGTTATTCATATTGGGAAAAAGTGAAGTTGGATTCCTACATTATATCACACAAAACATACAAACAAACAAACAAAAAAACCACACAGGCAAAATCATAACACATTCACAAGAAAACCTAGGGCAATACCTGTAAGATCTAGGGATAAGGAAAGATTTATTAAAGTCACAAACAGTGCTTAACATTTAGGCAGATAAACTTAATTAACATTAAGAACATCTGTTCTTCAAAAAAACACCATGAATAAAGTAAAAAGGCAAGCAGATTATGAAAAAAAATTCTAGCACACATACCTCAGTTATTAGTACCCAAAATATATATAAAATTCCTCCAATTAGTAAGAAAACAAGCCACTCAAAGGAAAAATAGGCAAGTGAACACTAAAAGAAATAAATTTATAAAAGGATGATCAACTCATATTTCAGGAAAATACAGGCTAAAATCACAGTACAAAATAATTTATAACTACCAGATTGGCAAGATTTTGCCAGTCTGACTGTACCAGTGACTGTGTGAATTAAGGAGAACTTGCTGGTAGTAGGGGATATAAATTGGTACACTTAAAACAGTATCGCATTATCTTGTAAAGCCAATCATGTGTTTATGTTATGATTCAATAATTCTACTTATAGATAATAAATCTAATATACTAGATACATACCCCAAAGAAATATACAGAATATATATATATATATATATATATACATATAGAATGTTCACATCAGAAATAACATTCAAATTTAGGGACATCCATCATTTTCCTTTATATTAAGTTAGTTTTAAGAATTATTAACTTATCCTCTACCAAAAGACAGCTCAATATAATTTTACTTATATTATAAATCTCTCTGTGAGAAAATAAAATTTTCCAGAGTGTATAAACTCTGCCTATAAGTTCTGCATACAATTTGACTCTCCCACCCATAGACATGTATGTATACAATGAAATTCTACAAAGCCATTAAAAATGCAGTTTCAAGTTCTGAATATAAAATAAAATAAAGGTTTCTCAGTGCTCCTCCACCAAAACTAGCCTTCTGATACACAGAAAAGTAAATATAAAGATAGGGAATGTTTGCTTTCATTTCCCCCAGAAATATTTTACTTCTCACATATTTTCAGAATTAGATCTGTAGCCAATTACCTAAGTAACTGCTCTGATTGAAAAGGATAATTAAATTTCCTTTATCTCCCTGAGAGTGCCGAGTGAGTACACAAGAGGGCCAAGAGGTTACAGCACAGATTAGTTCCTATATTAAGCCCCAAGGTGCCAGGAAGACTTAGGTATTTATATTTCAAGGATGAATGAGTCCCAGAAACTTGGGAGATGTCCCAGAGGGCTTAGTGCCTCCTGAAGAGATTTTATTTATTTACTACAGGGTTGGAGTTAATATTCATTACTATTTTCAAGGAGAACTTTCCAGGAGGGGAGGGAGATAGTGGCCTCCTTCCTTTAATAAGTAAAGAAAAACCATTTTTCCTCATCCCTTGCCTGTGGAATGTCCAGCTACTTGCATAGGATAACTGACCTGTCTTTCTTTGGGATGCCCTAAGGTTAAAGACTAGGGCAAAGGAAGGCTAATATATTTATTACTGTGAGGTATTCATTAAATCTCTGATCCATACCGTATGTTGTGTACATACTCAAGATGAAATTATTGAGAACCCAACAGTCCTCAATGCATCTTCCATCATCATTAGAACTATGACGAAAGTAGCTATAGTTAGAATAATTCCCAATGAGATTTGTAGGAAAAGGTATAGTTACACAAAATACCTAGGGTCCATTAGACTCAGTGTATCCTTCTGGAATGCTCATGCCCTCTAAGATACAGAATCTTACTTTATTTCTTAATTCTGGGAAAACCCAGTCCTCCAAGAACCTAATATAGTATTTGCTCAGGTGAATAAAATACCAGTATCTTCCTATCCTGATTCTCACTACTAGAAATGGAACAGATATAATTTTCTGATAAACTCCTCATTGTCAAGACTCAATACTCATTTTCTGAAATGCAAGAACCAAACAGATTTGGATAACCCAGTATCTCACCATATCCAAACCTACTCTCTAAACTTTCACTTTCTGAACTCTGGAATAAATAGATTTTGATTAGGAGGAACAGTTGTATTTCAGAAGAAAACAAGAAATGTAAATATAAAAGTATATTCATATGTAGTGAATGTGCATGTGTGTGTATATGTGTGTGTTCTAAGATGCCTAGCCCAAAGATTTCTAGCTGGTTAGTCAAAAAGTTACTGTTAGGGGCGCCTGGGTGGCTCAGTTGGTTAAGCATCTGCCTTCAGCTCAGGTCACGATCCCAGGGTCCTTGGATCGAGCCCCACACCAGGCTCCCTGCTCAGCAAAGAGCCTGTTTCGCCCTCTGCCCCCCACTTGTGCTCTCTCTCTCTCCTTCAGATAAATAAATAAAATCTAAAAAAAAAAAGTTATTATTAGGTATCCACCAATTCCTAAGTGTATAAACTCTGCCTATAAGTTCTGCATACAATTTGACTCTCCCACCCATAAACATGTATGTATACAATGAAATTCTACAAAGCCATTAAAAATGCAGTTTCAAGTTCTGAAAATTATTGATACTAACCTCCACTTGACTACCTGGAAATTGAGGCTCAACAAAGTGAGGAGTAAAAGGAAGTCAACTGCTGAAAAACTTGTATTGCACATGGCATACCTGTGTAAAAAACTTCTTCCCCTCTCTACTGAAATGTTCCATCAACATTTAAACATGAGCCCCTCTCCTCCGTAACTAACTCCTCCCTTTCAGCTAAACTACACATAATAGCATGTATTCATTTTCTGTTCATTCCTGAACCCATCACAACTGATGCCTGACCTAATCCCTCTATCCAAACTCAATAAAATCAGTATCTATTGTTGGATACATCTAGTAAATATCTCTTAAATCAGCCTCTTATATCATCATTCTTACCCTTCTCCTCCACTGACTACCACCCTCTAATGTAATGCTAGTTTTCTGCCTCATCTCCCCTTTTCAATTCATTCTCTACAGAGTACCCAAATAAATTTCCAAAACACAGATGTGATCATGTCTCACATACAATCAAAATCTCATGCTACTCCCTTTAAAACCCAATTGCTCTTAGGATTACATCCAAACTTCCAAACATTTGAACGCTGCCTACATAACACTGAAGGACACAGCCCCCTACACACTTTTCTAGCCTCATGTCCTACCACTTTCTCTCAACTACTCTAGTATTGTTGCTTTATTTCTTTTCAACCTCACCAAGCATCTTGCTCTTTATGAATCTTCAAATATGGCAGTCTCTACTGGAACAAACCATATCTATTTGAGGAATTCCATTTATCACTGTAATCCAGAAGAATAGTCTCCTTATCTCATTTTTTACTGAAGTATAAACTCTGCATAAGAAAATGATATTCAATAAATATTTGTTGTCACAATCACAAAATACAATAAAGATACTTCATGGGGAAGACTGGCTTGCAGAAGGTCTACCGTCATGGCTAAAATAAAAAGACCATAGTAAAACTGTTCGCTAAATAGTTGCAACAAAGAGACTTTATGGTACTTTCAGAAGCAAAAATGAAATAAGCTGAAACAATATGATCACTTATTCAAATACTTATTTCTAAGGGAGAATGAGGAACATTTTAAAACCTTTCACTCACAAGTTTTTCTTTCTCTAGTTTTTGTAGTAAACTCTCCATGTTACTTCCAATTCTTGTTTTTTCTACAACTTCATAAAGGCTGCAATACATTCCATTCTTCAAAACTGACATAAGAAAAAATACACTGTAAATATTAAATCAAATCTGCTTTTTATATATTTTAATAAAATTAAATTACTTACCTTCACTTGGACCTAAGTAAGTTTCCTTATAAAACAGCGCTGGAGGGATTTTCTGTTTCAGATGATCAATACTCATAACTGTTTCAACATCTAACTTTTCAGGACTGAAAGAAAATTGAAAAGACATGTTTGCCTTACCTATATGTTTAACTCTAGTAATGTTATTTCCTCCCCTCCGCTGCCCACACGAGGATCTTGGTGGAAAGCAGAGCACACTTATTAATATCATAGTTGACTCTAAAGAGGATTTGATATGGGAAGTCCAGATATATACAGAAGTAGAAAAAAAGACTGCCAATATCACCAACCTTCCATCTTTAAGCAAGAAGCTAATCCTATACACCAATTTTACTAAACCAAAAAGGATAAAAGGCTGTCCTTTTATTAAAAGTTCAAGTATGAACTGTTAAAGTAATCTTCAAACATCTATGAAGGCCCATAATATTTACTGGGGTGGTAGCAAAAGATCATTCTAGACCTCTCTATTCCAATATATGCTGCACAGGACTGAAGAGAGTCTATAAATTTTAACTTCACTCACCACATCAAATTCATTTCCAACAAAGAACTGATAACTTCTAAGTCTATCATGTTCAAATTGCTAAATGAAAAATATATCTAATTAGGATAAAACTTTGAAAAATCACTTTTTTAAAATTTAAAATCACTTAGAAAAAGTTTTATGCCATAAATGTGCATGACTAGCCCACTCTCAAACCAAGACAGAAAAGTAGAGGGCTCATTTTGCCAACTAAGTCTCCCAAGTTATCAATTTTTTTAAACAAATCAACATTTATATTCTTTTGGACCAAAGTAAAATTTAAATTTAAGAATCAAAAGCAAAAAAAGGAACTGAATAGTTAGCAACCATTAACTGCTATTTTCTTATAATATAACGTACTTACAGCTTGATAGGCAAAAAAGCACGAGTGGCTGACCTCAGAGAAATATAACACAAAAGCTTTCCTTTATTTAAAAGCTGTCCTTTCCACAAGGTGTAGTTAAATTTATCTAAATAAAAAGAATAACAACACAATTCAGCCACTGGCAGCCCAGAAGCAAATACATGCTTACTAGATAGAAATAAGGGAAACACATCTAGAAACAATGTCTAAGTAGAAGACCAGCAACAACAACAAAAACCAAAATGAACAAAAAACACCCATGACATTTCTATTTACAAGAGAGTTCAAATATTAGGATTTTTGTTTCAGTATCTTTTCTCTTGCAGGGTTATTCCAGCTGCAAAAAATAACAAATTTATTTGTCTAAATGTCTTTATATCAGAAAGTTAAAGAGCAAAGACAATATATTTACTGCCCTCTTACTTCCCCCAAAAGAGACTATATTAAATCCAGTTAACTACATGAATTCCTAATAGCATCTCACACCCTCTACTCACTCTTTTCATTGTGGAGAAACTTGATGACAGAAAATGTCAGTACTGCTTTTAATCTTCTCTAGGTCTTATAAATCCTAAACCTCTGATAAATACAGTATTTTAAAAAGCTGAGTTGTGAAGTTTATTTTTTTATATTTATCCAAGTGCTAATCCTTTGGTCTATTCACAGTATTAGCTTCCAAGAGAGACCTTATACTTGAACAACCAAATGCTGAAGCTACATCATAACATGGCCTCACCTCCTTTATCAGACTTTGCAGATTTTTGTTCATTATAAAAATAAAGCAAAACACTAATTTTTTACTATATGTGCTTAGTTTTTCAATTTATAAAACCAAAGGAAAGAAATAAAAGAATCTTACCTGTGTTTCTATCTGCATTGAAACTGTTAGATCTATAAATAAATTCAAAAACAAAAAAAGAAAAACATTACTGACTGATAAGAAAGTTAACATTCAGGACCTTGACATAAGTGCTATTTTTAATGGTGTAATATACAAGAAAATTAAGTCCTTCATCCAAGTAGGAAGAACATATTAACTACTTATTATAACATTTAATAGATCCACGTCTACATGAAGCAAACAGTTACTTGGCTCAAATTACCATATCTGTACAAATTTATGGGAGCTATTTTTCCCAAAAAGTCATCAGGAGATAAGAGTCCATTAAAGTCTCTGTGAATTACTTTAATAGGTGATGAGATATGAAGAAATAGCCTCAATATATATTTAAACCTATTTATTAAATATTAAATGTTTAATATTAAATATTAAACCTATTCAATAAATATTTACCAAGCTTCTATTATTTACCAGGCACAGTTCTAGGTAACAGGATTACTAGGATGAACAAAGGCTCTGCCTTCACAGAGTTTACAATCTCATGAAGAGGACAAACAACAATCAAAAATTAAGTATATAGTTTACCAGATGATGATGGTTTTAAGTGCTATGGAGAAATAGACAAAGCAACTAAGGGTATGGGGTTAAAAATAAAAATCATGGAAGACCTTGCTGATAAGGTCACTTTTTTTTTAAGATTTTTATTTATTTGACAGAGAGAGAGATAGCAAGAGAGGGAACAAAGCAGGGGGAGTTGGAGAGAGAGAAGCAGGCTTCCCGCTGCGCAAGGAGCCAGATGCAGGACTTGATCCCAGGACCCCGGGATCATGACCTGAGCTGAAGGCAGACGCTCAAACATCTGAGCCACCCAGGCGCCCCTGATAAGGTCACCTTTAAGGAGAGATCTGATAGAAGTGTTAAGTTAAATGATGCCACTAACTGGGAAAAGAGAACAGCAAATGCAGAGGCCCTACGGCAGAAGCATTCATGGTATAGCAAGGATGTTCAATCAATGCTCGTTTTAAATGATACAGAGATCAAAAGATGGAATCAAAGAAGAGGCAAAGAAAATTAAGACAGTTACTATTCCTGGAGGTATGACCTCATAATTAAGTGCTGGGTGTCTTTAAAGATTACTCTTGAAAGGCACTATTTTAAATATATCATGGAAATCATAAATACAGAGCCACAAGAAAGACGAAAATCACCAGTGTCTGGATATCATATGAATTGCTACTTAATGGCTATGGATGGATGGTTACCAGGGTTATTTGCTGACATGAAAAAAGTGTGCTGGATCTCAACTTAAAGGAAGACATGATTTGATCTGGAAAACCAATGAAAAGACTGACCTCAAAAAATGTATTTCATGAAATGTGGCTTTTTAAAACAGTATTTCTAAATTAATAGGTATCAATTTTCCCAACAATTTTCTGGAACCACCACATGGGAAAAAAATAAGGGAAACTGCTTTGTATTTTGTCACCTTACATTAGAGCTTATAAGATATCACCAGTGGTACTCAACTGACTAAAAATCAGAATCACCTAGAAGCTTTTAAAATTATCAATGCCTAGACTACTTAATAAACATTTGATTTTTTAGTTGGTTTGAGGTGGACTGGAGCATCTTTTATAGAAGCTCCCCATTTCTAGGAGCGCTAATACATAAAATTTCACTTTTAAAAACTACATTTTACTCAACTATGCAAACCTTCAATATCAAGAGAAAAAGGGTTAACTGGTGAGGTTTAAGTAAATTTTAGTTTGTATTTCCACATAAATTATGTTTTTCACACTGACCTTTTAAAAGTCATCATGAACACTCATGCATCTAATTAACTGCCAGGTAAGGAAAAAAATGGGAAGAAAACAAAATGTTCCTCCTAATTCGGCAGGGCAGGACATGTAAAATAATATTCTGGATGAAGTCTAAAACTCATGAGTCTTACCTTGATGAAGGCACAAACTTTGGAGTTTGTATATCATCTTTGTAAGTAAAAGATACAACCGCATATGGACATACATGTCTTGGTCTTCGCCTGAGTTCATCAAAGCTATACTCATAAAAATAATACTAAAAATAAGAAAATGCAAAATTAACTTCTGTAAAACAAGATGTACACAGTAGAATCTTTACTTCCCTGATTTTTGAGAAATATAACACCATTTAAACCTCAAACAGAAACTATCTTTAAGCACTGCTTATCAATTTATTTAAAATAATTTGTACTTTATATTCATTTTATGATATAAAATATTCTACTTCTCTATCTCAGATGCACTAGTAGGTACTCTAAAAGCTTACTTCTTAAAAGCTGACCCCTGGGAATGTACAACAAATTTCCTCATAAAAATGTTACAAATGGACATTTGTAAGCTCCCAAGTCAGCCCAGAAAAGTCAATTTGATAGAAAAAAGTAAAATGCTAAGGACACAATCTCAACCAAATCTAGCATTCTGTTCATTATTTTTTTTTTTTAAGATTTTATTTGAGAGAGAAAATGAGTGAGAGAAAAAGTACAAGCTGGGGTGGGGTGAGGGGAGGCAGGAGAGCGGACTCCCTGCTGAGCAGGGAACCTGATGTGGGGCTTGATTCCAGGACCCTGGGATCAGAACCTGAGCCAAGGTAGACACTTAACCGACTGAGACACCCAGGCGCCCCTGTTCATTATTTCAAAAGAAAAACATATTCTTCATGCCAACTGCAGACCAAGCCGCAAAGAGGAGGTGGAAGGGATTATGAACACAGGTGACAAAAGTAGTTAATTCTCTTCTTACTACCCATCTGCCTCTCCCCTTCACCTATTCACAACATTCATTAGGGTTTTGTGACTTGCAGACTAGTGATTTTCATTAAAAAGAATGCTCCAGTTTATAAACAAAGCATTGTCCTTCAAAGTCCATTCCCTTGGGAAACTACTGATTTCAATGTTGTTGCTGCTCTAAAAATGCCTGAAAATTTTTTGGAAACATCAAGCTAGTTTACAGGTTGTTAGAAAAACCTACCTTAAAAAAAAAAAAAAGGAAAAGAAAAAGAAAAAGTTACTGCTACCTTCTGCAACTACTGCCCAAAAAAATCATCAAATGAGCCAGCCCAGATGACTTTGGTGAATAGAATTTTTGCTAAAAGCCCCAACAATATGTCTTGCTTGCCCATTCAGAGTCTTCAAAAAGAGTCAATTATACTTCAATTTATTTATTTATTTATTTTTTAAAAGATTTTATTCATTTATTTGACAGAGAGACACAGCAAGAGAGGTAACACAAGCAGGGGGAGTGGGAACACAAGCAGGGATCCCAGGACCCTGGGATCATGACCTGAGCCGAAGGCAGACACTTAACCGACTGAGCCACCCAGACGTCCCTATACTTCAATTAAAAAAAAAAGTTTCACTTACAACTGAGTGTTAAAAAAGGAACAAGAACAAATTTTATTTTCTATAAATAAAGTGAAGATTAAAGAAAGAAAAAAAAAAAAAAAGAACAGCTCCAGGGGGGTTAGCATACCACTCCTTTTCCCATACAATCCATCTGGCTATATACATTTTTTATACATTTGTTAAAAAATAGCATGCATTTTTTATATAAAGTTTCTATTATAAAGTAATTCCCATTACTTTATACAATAGTCCCCCCCATATACGTAGTTTCGCTTTCCAGTTTCAGCTTCTGTGATCAACCATAGTCCAGAAGATGTTCCTCCTGACAAATGGTCAGAAGGTCAACAGTAGCCTAACATTACACCACAGTAACTACATCATTCCCCTCACTGCATCTCATCATGTAGGCATTTTATCATCTCATATCATCATGAGGGTGAATACAGCACAGTGAGATTTTGAGAGACCACAAAAACTTTATAATTGTTCTTATTTATTATTATTGTGATTAATCTCTTACTGTGCCTAATTTATAAATTAAACTTTATCATAGGTATGCAGGCATAGGAAAAACATAATACATACAGAGTTCAGTACTATCCGTGGTTTCAGGCACCCACTGGGAGCCTTGGACCCTGAGGATAAGGGGGGGGGGGGGCAATTGTAGTCAAACATCATATAAAAACATAGTGACTAAAATTTGGCAAATATATACTTTTTCCTGTTTATCATTTTAAAGCTTAAAATTTAATTCTAAGTTTGCATCTTAGAAAAATGTTAAAATAAAAAAACTATCAAATCAATAGCATAAAATTACATGAATTATGGTAATTCAAGGGTTTTCAACTTTAAAAAGGATGAGTAGTATTTTATTAGGCAGGAGATCTTTCTAGGCCAGAATCTAGGCCAAGAGAAGTCAAGGCTTCAAAATGAAATGAGGTGTGTTGAGGGCAGCGATCATACAAAACACCAGGTTGGCAGAAAGAACTAGACTAAGGAATCTCAATATTACTCTGTAAGTCTAGGGAGCCACACTATGTTTCTGAGCTGTCTTGAAAACACTGAATAAATAGCAGTGAGAGACACTCCGGTAGTGTTATATGGACACCAGAGGTTAGACTGGTGTGGTGGCAGAAGGTACAGAGAAACATTAAAGGATTTGATGACAAATAGATATGAAGTCGTAACACTGAAATGAATCCAAGCACCTACCTGAGTAAGCTCATAGGCTCTGTAAGCCAAAAGTGATGTAACTCTATTGGCATTCTTTGACACGTGACATTCATGCTTTGGTGTTGGGTCCAAAGCACTTTTACTTAATATAGATTCCAGACTTTTAACACCCATGGGGTCGTATATACTCTTTATTTTACCCTAAAATAGACAAAACCTTTTAAGTCCACCTAAACTTATTATTGACTATATAACATTATAAAATACTTCTCCAAATATAGATCACCTATGACAACAGTTCTTTCCTTTAATACCTGGTAACACTCAACACATTTTACCAATATTGAAGCACCAAAAATGACAACTAAAAAGGTGCTGTTTGAATGTGCTTAATAACAAGAAAATAAAAATTTCATTTACAGCCCTGTTCACTAGCCTAAACGACATTACCAACGTATTACCCTCTTTATTTTCTTTGGGAAGGAAATCAAATAAATCAAAGATGGCAAACCACTCTCGAAAATATCTTTATATACTAAACTAAGCAAGGACTGATTTTAATTTAATCAAACTCCTAAAGACAGGGCCAACTAAAATCCAAATCAAATGTCCTTGATATATGAAATGTAAATGTTAAAATTACCTTCATTATTTTAAAAATAACAACATCGCCCACTGCCCCAGGTTCCAAAGGATTAGCTTGTAATAAATCAGCATACCTAGAAAGATAGATACCTAGTGAAGAGGGAAAAATTAAAGAATTTGAATAAGGGCACAAATACAAAAAAGAAAATACAAACATTTAACCTAATGATAAGAGATAAAAAAGGTATGACACCTTTAAAAATGTAATGACAGTAAAGATAGCTGATATTTAACCAAGACAGAAACAACAAAAAGAACCAGAAACATGAAACTAAGTCTAAGTTTCTCAAAATCACCAGGACTAGACTGACTTTAAAAAAGAAAAAAAAGAGATAATCTTTGATCAATCTGAAGTAAGCAAAATCAGAAACAAAGGGTAAAACCGGTTTCACATTACAGAATCTGAAACTATCCTCCTTTTCTAGGAACATGACAAGGCATACATAAATTTAATTTTAAGGAATGCAGCAGAATTAATATGTTTAAAAGGCAACAGTAGATAAGTGGAAAAAAAAAAAAAGATTACCCATGGAAGGACTGCCAAGAATTGTTATTTTGGACTGGCCCACCTGTAATCCTTTTTCACATATGCTTTGGACCTAAATAAACAAAACACTTCATCTCACAATCATAATACATTAAAAACATGAAAAGGTAATTTGTCAAGTTGCTCTATAAAACCCAAGCTTCTAAACTTATGTAGGTTCTGCATTACAGAAATTTTATATATATGACACTTTATGACTAAATATCAATGTGAAACTGGCTTATGCTTCCAATGTAACCATAGCTGGAATCCATTTTTGTTTATACTAGGTGTGACAGATAGTCAGAATTCATGCCACCCACATATATAAACATTCCCTTTTAGGGAGAATTAGAACTGGCAAAATATTTAAATAAAAATTCCACCTAAACATCTTCAATTGAAGGAGAAAAAATAGTTCCCAGCACATATAACCTACAATATAGAATATAATCTATTTTAATAAAGGGAGAATTATTCATTATCAAGCACATCCTAGGGAAAGAAAATGGGTTTGGTCAGAAAAAATTTAAGCACATCTGAAAAGCAATTACATGACAATGAAATACCTTGCCCTACTAAATCATTTCTTCCATTTATACCTCATATCATTTACACTAACTTATAAAATAGTTTATAATTTTCAAGTGTATTGTTACATTGCAAAACTAGTAACTTAACAATGGAAACATCCTCAAATTGTTTTTTATAAAGAGTTCACTTACCTGGTATCGATCAACCATAAGAAATGCATAGGATTCTGAAAGTTCTTTATCTAAACGACCATCAAACTTCAGTTCTCTTCGCTTTTCTGTGAACTAAACAAAACTAAATCTATAACAACTCCTTAGTATGTGATTATGTCTTTCAAGCTAAGAGCTTCAGTAATTTTATTCCTAAGAAATCCCAAATGTAACCAAAGTAGAAATTATCTTTTCTCTCCTTGTATTTTCTGTGCTTCAATTTTTTCCTCATAACTAGCTCTTTACCTCATAATAATCAAATAAGCATCTAGTGTTTATCAATTTTAACTAAATTTCTACTAAAATTTTACCACATTCCAACTCTCCCACAGATTTTTAAGTTCATGTTTTAGTTACCTTTGGATCTCTCAGTTTACTTAACATGATGCACTGCATACAGTAGGTGGTTTAATAAATCTCTGCTGAATGATCAACTTTTGGACTATAAACTCAATCAGGACACGGAAAAGGTTCCATTTCTTTAAAACTATAGTCTCAATGCCAACTATGTAAGACATGTACCATACATACTGCCAGGATAAAAAAAACAACTTTGTCTAAGTATAACTAAACTGCAAGTCACTGACTTTCACTTTTAGATACAAGCAAACAGATATACATTCAAAATATGGAGCTCACATCTAATAGATTTATATGCAGTATTCAAATAATTACCAATGTTCAGTAATATGATTAATCATTAGACTAAATTTTCATATAAAATTAATAAATAACCCCTATCGTACCATGAAACCACATCAAACTATCAAGGTTTTAATTTTCTTGGGGAGCCAGTAACTTCATGGATTCTCTCAAAATTAATTCTGGTAGCACTGGGTTAACCAACTCACAAAAGTACATAATTAATAATATTTCATGTGCCCTAGGAAGCAATAAACACATAAAATATTTCTAAACATCTCATTTATATCATCTCAGAATATGCATTCTGGCTTTTCCTAAAAATATTCTAATTTGTACATGAAACTTTTTTTACACTTTTTCACTAAGAATTTCTACTAGTGATAGTAAGAAAATTCAGCTACTAAGCAATAACTGGGGAAAAAATTAAGCATATCCTAAAAAATATATACATTTGATTTCATTAATTATCTTCCAATTTAGACATAATATAGATTATAGATTTCATTTAATTAATATGCACTTAAAAGAGCAAAGGGCCTTATAAGGTTATAATTAAGCCATTATACAGTAAGCTATTCCTATGTTTAAGATTCATTTTCAGTAAGTTATTTTACATAATTGAACATTAACTTATCCGAACAAATAAATAGTGCTATATCAACAATACTCTGAAGAAAAAAGATGTGATTTAAAACTTGTTTTCCTTTCCATAATTTGGCTTTCCTAAAAACTAGCGTTTTTAAAGAAAAGGAACATAAAACAACTTCCAGACTATTAACTGGTTCTGAAGAATCTTACAATATGCACAATTTAAAACGTACCTCCTTAATTGACATACAATAAATTACATGTCCTAAAAAAAAAACAAAAACCAAAACATACCTCCTTTTCCAAAAGTTCATTATGTATCAAGCAAGCACGTTTGTAGTTAAAATTTGTTACTGAGGTTGGTTCAAGGTAAGATGAATGGAGAATATTTAGAACATCTTCAAATTCTCGAGAGCCTGGAGTTAATGGCTGAAAAAGTGCTAAAACAAAAAAAAAATTAATTTTAACATGATTCCATCTTAAATGTAGTCTCTTAAATTTTGTGGGTTTAATATCACTTTTAAGTGAAGTTGAAAAAAGTCATCAAGGCTATCTTATTTTGTGATATTCAAAAGAGACACATTAATTCCCTGAAGAAAAATTACAGTTCCCTACATTGACCAGTTCCTTCAGCAATGAGCATCTGGCATTACAGATGTAGACAAGAGGTTACAATTTTGCAAAAACTTAAGAATGCTGCGATAGGCAACGTAAATTGCTTTAACGCTCTCATAAGAAAGAACCTGTGCCTATCCTCAACTTGTCTCCACTCCTATCTTATGTTACACTGAAATAGTATGTCTATGACCATTTACTTCAGCAAACTACATGCTTACAGCATAAATGAATGTATAAAAACATTTAAGACAAACTTAGGTGTCTATAAAATTATTCTATTTGGTTTTTAGTACTAAAATTAAAATAAAATACGCTACTTCCATTGCTTTCTTGTATTACCAACATATAGTAGAACATTTATTATGAAAGCTTAGTGAAATGGAAAGATGTAGAGCTTTGGAGTCAAGCCTGGACACAAATAACAAATCTAGCATTTATTAACTTTGTGGGAGAGTCTTAGTAAATCAACCAAAAATAAGCTCAGTTCTCTAATCTGTAAAAAACTCTAGTTATCCTAATAACCACTAAATTCTACATTCCACACATAAGACAACACATGGGAAAAGCTCTAAGCACAGCATCCAGTATAAAGACAATGAAATTGTTTATCCCCCCTCCTACAACTTTCCACACCCCCATTTAATTTTTAAAATACTTAAAAGTCAAATATCCAATTTGTTCTTGGACCAGTGGATTAGTGGTCTAATAATTTCAAATTTCCACTTTATGCATGAAATAGTTTAACTTACTAATAAATTTCAAAAGTCTACACATATAAATGTTCCCTAAGCCAAAAAAGGAACCATTTATATTTCACTGTATATAGAAGTATCCAAAGAACTTATGTTATACTGTATTACCTTAACTTCTTTTGAGATATTATTTCTGAAGAGAATAAATGTCACAGTCAAAATACTTTTAGGCTACTACTAAAAACAGTGTTCTGCTTGTACATATTCTTAAAGATACTAGAGAGCAGCTGTTTACTGTAGTTTCTATACATAATATTAGGTTTTAAAGGACATGATTTCAAATGACATATCCATCCATCCATTTACCACACTACGTATATATTACAAAAGTGTCTGTAAAAATGTAACATTCAATAACAAAGTGTATATAAACGGTTCCTACTACTTTGGGATCCCACACTAAAAGAAATAAAGCCAACACAGTTACGATGCAATAGACACTAGGGGTAAGCAGGGGGAAAAAAATCACTCAAAAGAACATACTATTAAACACAAAATGTGTCCTACAATCAAATTTGTAGATGAATATACTCAATAATCTATTGATTAAGGTCCACAAGAGCAAGAACTGCATCTGCTTTGTTCATTACTCTATCTTTATCATATGCCAGTAGCTAGAACTGTGAGCACTGGCCCCAAGTAAGTTGAATAACTACATAAGTTAGTAAAGAAAATAAGAATAAACTTTGTCAAAGATTTTTTTAAAACTAAATACAAATATATCCTACAACTACCAAAGTATCACTGCTATCATCTTAAGTCTTACAAATTCACCAATTCAGTAATATGTAAAACAAAATGAAAGCTTAAAAGAAATACACCCTCATTCAAATCTGTTTTACAGAATGTGGTAGGAAAAAACATCTTTGTGACTGTTCCCAACTAAGTTGGGAGAAACTTGGCAAGGAAAACAGCATGTGGAATAGTCTTTATAGGCTTTCACATCCAAAATGGGTTAGGTAGGATTTTAAAAATTGGGTTTTATGCAGGACTGATTTTTGTTTCTAACAAAGTGACTTCAGACATCTAAAATGGCTCCACCCAAAAGTACCATATGGCATTAAACTTCTGTAAAATTTTATGCCTAAATTATTTTCCTTAGTTAAGCTGTCCCAACACTATTCCCACCATTGATCTAATCATACATGAAAAATTATATCATTTTAATTTATATAGAAATTAACATTCCAATTCTCAGAGAAGTACTAAACAGTTGTTTTATTTCATTATGTCCTATAGTCATGTCAAATGTACTCAAGTAGACTGCCAGGGGGGGAAAATTAAAGATGAAAATATAGAAAAAATGCCTGTGTCCGAGGTATTTTCTATTTCAAATGACTCCGTTGGCTTTAATACTTAGGGCAGTTATAATTTTTTTTCCCCTCCCAGTTATCATTTCTACAAAAATAATGTAACTATTTTTAAGGATTTCAAGTCAATGTGCTGGTAATAATTAGAAATTTAACAAGTTTATGTTCTGAATGTACATTCCCAAGTTGCCTATTTTGTACTTAATAATCCTCTTAACACTGAAAATCCTTTGGTCACTTCTCTTAAAGAAAAAACATATGTACCATAATCTTAATTATGGGTCATTATTTGAGGCAATAATAAACAACCCTGTGATTATCCAAATGGGGAATAGAACATTTTATACAGTAATTATTTCACTTAATAAAGTATCCAATATATTTTTCTCTGGATTCTGACAATTACTGAGTCTAATCATTAGTGGGTCATTATTACTATTCAGATACTATACTGTTTACATGCATTATCTCATTTAATCATTAAAACCATCCTATGAAGTTCAATTATACCCATTTCACAAACGAACCTAACAGCTAACAGCTAATGTGGCCCAAGGTTACATAGTTAATGAATAAATAGGGCAGGTAGGATTCAAATTCAGGCCGCGTAGCTCCAAATCTTGTATCCTGAGCTCTAAGCAAAAGAAAAGATTTATATACGTGTATACAAGAGCTGAAACTAATCATGACAGAGCTGGAAAAAAAAAATTGTTTCCTTTTTAGACCAAGAAATTATACAGAACGCTTAGACACAGGAAATTAGGTATAAAAGGAAAAGAACTTGATGTCCAGGATTATGCTCTTTATAGCTTATGTGGCTTCTGTAAAATCTCTTTTCTCATTTTAATGCATTTAACAGGGCCAAAAGCTCTCACGCTGACTTATAAAGGTTAAGAGAAGTAACAGTTCTTCCACACACAGAAATCCTGCAAATAAGCAAAATTATGTTTTTCAATCAAATACATGTCAGACACATGGCTAATGAGTTGACTTTTGTAATTCACAAGGTTTCCTTATTGACAAAATTGATTATAGATATTTTATGGGACTGAAGTGCAGATTTAGAAAGACATTAGAAGATTTATAATTCAGACAAGGAAAAGGATTGTATCACAGAATTAGAACTAGAATTCAGGTCTCCTGACTTCATATTATCCATGCTATCAGAGTATTTTTTTATAACTGGTAGCATACAAGAAAACATATTCAATTTAGGGGCGCCTGGGTGGCTCAGTCGTTAAATGTCTGCCTTCGGCTCAGGTCATTGTTCCAGGGTCCTGGGATCGAGCCCCACATTGGGGTCCCTGCTCAGTGGGGAGCCTGGTTCTCCCTCTTCCACTCCCCCTATTTGTGCTTTCTCTCTTGTGTCTCTGTCAAACAAGTAAATAAAAAATCTTAAAAAAAAATACTCAATTTAATGTTATATTTAAACAGTTGGAATAGACATAAAGTTTAGGTCATGAAACAGCTTAGTTCCTTAGTCAAAGGAACACTTTTTTCAATTTTACCAATTTACATAATTCAATGCCATGTATTAAGATGTATATATGTAAAAGAAAACAAAAAAATCATAACTACATATATGTAAAAACAAACTAACTTTTAAAATAAAGGACCACTGTTACCAAAACATAAAAATAAGACAATGTGAACTACACATTCCAATTTAAAGTAACTAATTCATGGAAGAAAAGGAAACAGCCAAGAGTGGGCTGTGGATCATGTGTATTCTGCAATTCTCTGAATCCATCTCTCTGATGTCTACTGGTATTGATTAAAATACAACAAATACCCATGTTCCAATAATTTACTTGAAAGACTTTAAAAATCATTTTTCTTCAGTCTAATAAAATTGCTACAGACATTATACTTTAGGAATGGAGGTTTCATCTCTAAATCAAGACTGAACATAATGGGGTGCCTGGGTGGTTCCGTCAGTTAAGCGTCTGCCTTCGGCTCAGGTCATGATCCCGGGGTCCTGGGATCAACCCCAGCATAGGGCTCCCTGCTCAGGAGGAAGTCTGCTTTTCCCTCTCCCTCTGCCCCTCCCCTACCCACTGGTGCTCTCTAATAAGTAAAATCTTTACATAAATAAATAAACAGAACATAGTGCAGAATCAACAATGAATATGCTGGCAGGGACTAGAGAGACAAGCACAAATATGAAACTATTAACTTTTTCTGGCCTGGGGAATAAGTCAAAGAAAATTTTACTTCTACTATTTAGAATGTATATACACCTATCAAATGTTTATATGGATGACAGGATTGTGCCAATACTTCCCTGCTTATTTCTATGTAGGGAGATCTATGGTACTTAGAACCCAATCACCCATATACAACTACTGAAACACCATGCAAATATCTTCAAAGGAGACTTTGCCTCAAAGTCTTCAAAAAGACAACTGCAAATTTTTGGGAAAAGATGGGTGTTAGGGAGGAGAATGAGCCATTAATTCTGCTGGACTAGACCAGCATGGATGCAGGTACATGAGTAGTCTTGTGCCCTACATAAAACATTAACCAGTAAACATTTTCCAGAAAGTGAATCATCACTATTTCATTTCCCAAGAACTTTGGAGGGAAAAATTATATCAAATTACCAATTTTAATTTGCTTTTAGACTTATAGTATTAGATTTTAAAGTAAAAAAAGGCAAGAGTGAAACATCTACTGACAAGATGCAATTGTACAATTTGGTTAAATGTCAGAACAGTGCCTCTTTACACTATAGATAATAGCCCAGCCAATAAACACCACTACATCAAAGAGTAAATTTTACTCTTCCAGTCAATAGTTATGTCATTTAATCTGTCAGTACCGATTAAATGTGTTAATAAGTTCTGAATCTCAAAATATTCCAAAGATGAAGATATACTAAATATTTCTAAATGTTACAGAGGGTAAAAAAATTTTTACCAGATCAGATCAAAAGCTAACAAAAACACTTAGATTACAAAAAAAGAAGTCTTGTTACAGTTTGAGTAGTGGTAAGTACTATACACTTACCAGCTGTAAGTTCAAATTCCAACTCTATCTTTTACTAGCTGTATGACCTTGAACAAGTTATCTGACTGCGCATTACTTCGGTTTCCTCATCTGTAAAATGGGAATAATACCTACTACATGGAATTGTTGAGATTTAGTTAATGTGTGTAAATTGCTTTAAACAATGCCTCCAACTTACTAATAAGCACTATAAAGTGTCTGCCAATATTAATTAGAACGGCAGTATTCTAGATGTTATGCTATTGTCAATACCAAAAAAATAACTTGGAGTCAGCAAGTTATACTCATGTATTATTTAAGGTACCAAAAATAATCAAGTCATGTTAAATTTCACTGGAAAAGCATAGTCACAAGCCAAGGTCTGCCATATTAAAATATGAATGCAAAAGAATCTTTCATACTGAAAGGTTCAGAGGTATCTACTGAAAATGATCTAACATTCACGATAAAAGACTCAGATGACCACAACTAATAGCTAGCCAAATCCTGTACATAAAGTGATACCTTTCAAGAGATGATTTGGGGATGAAGTGTGAAACTAGCAGCACCTGCTGTACTATTTCTGATAAAGCATTTTTTTAAATTATGAAAACTTCAATTTTTCTATTAAGTTCTATAACCAAACACTATCTTCTTTCAACTTGGACAGGATAAAGTCCATGGTGGTAAAATAGCTGCTTATTTAAGTTTTAAAAGCTCTATTTAAATCGTTACTGCATCATTTGCACAACTGCTGCTTAGTGCATAAAGTATTTTCACTAAACATGAAAAAAGTCCAGTGTGTTTTATTTTCCTTACCTATAACCTCCCTGACAAGACAAAAGTTGACAACCTTTTGCCTCTAAGTGAAAATAGAAAACATAAATTTTCCCCAAGGAGCATCAGACTCAGGGGAGAAAGCAACTAGGTTTTAGATTTCCTAATTCCTCAATTATATTCACTTCTAGTGTGTTCAAATAAAGCCTATTTTACAGTAACCTCTGGATTTACCTAATTAAAAAAACCACATGTAAACACAGTGCCTTTCAACATTTCCTGGTGACTTCCCTAGTCGCAAACCAAACTATGAGGATTTCTACAACAATATTCTGGTCCTATCAAAAGACGGTAAATCCATGGTTTAAGATGTACCATAAACCATATTCTTGGGCACTTAAAAGAGGAAAAAAAAAGGAAAACAAAAAAAATGGACTTCAAAATTTTATCAAGCTAGGAACAATTTGAAAAAAGTTCAATCTCCTACCTCTTTACCACAGCCCACCTGAATGTACTTCCAACCTATTCTCTGCCAACTGGTAATTTAGGATGAGCAGCTAAATTTCCTTAGAGACTATACATCCTAACAAAATAAAGAACTGACAGCCCTGACCTTTACAAGTATCCTCTTGAACTCTAAAATACATTAATTCATTTAAAAGATATTTCTAGAAACATTCCTCATGCTGGTGGACAAAGGTAACTTTATTTTTGTCAACATCGTTTCTCACACCAAGGATTTCCTTGGCTTTGTCATGGAAATAGAAATTAACAGTTGGACTTCGTTCCTATCTTACTGATAAAAGGCTCTAACAATTTCAGTTGTGCAAATGGAGATAAGCACATGGAAAAAGGAAGCTCATGCTTAATTCAAGATTCCAAGTCTTTACTAAGATTTAAATTACAAATTAAAAAGCGTTCTGCAAAAAAAATTCCTATAATTTTCCAAAAAGTAAATCATGAAATACTAAACCACGCAGTAAAACAAAAAAACTTTAAATTGACTAAATCCAGAGTATCCCAAATCACTGGATAGTCAAAAATAGTCTAATAGAAAATGGTAATACTAATTTTGATCTCCATTAGAAAGGTGTCATAAAATAGCATTAAGTTTTAAACAGATAAAAGTAGTTCATGTAACTGTTCCTATATTGGTTCCAAAATCTAGACTGGCCTTTTTAAAAAAAAAAAAAAAACGAAACAAAAACCCTAAGTTCTCTCGTCTGCAAGATCAAGTTGGTGACACTTGGGCATAAGCTTCTATTTTTTTCCATAGGGAAATTACTGCCCCAAGAACCTACCTTCCCATTCTTCTCAAATACAAGAGAAAACATACTAAAGTTTGGATTTAAAGAGAGAGACCTATTTAATCTAACGCTTCAAAAACAAGGGGAAAAATCTACATGGAAATGAAGTGTGATGGAAAATACCAGTGTGCATGGATCACATCTAATGGAGGTTTCTAAACAAGGGGGAGACGCTGACATCGAGCAAATTCCAAGTAGACACTTAGAGCTGAAGAATTTCCAAAGGGAGAAGCACTTGTGGTCCTCTGAATGCAATGGCCTTGGAGAAAGCCCCAGAATCCATGGCCACGGGCTATTTCCACAGTGAGACTTGTCAGAAGCATCCTTAGGAGGACACACCAGCTTCTGTGCCTTCAGGGGCTGGGAGGGAGGGGCGCCGAGCTCCATCTTTCCTCTCTGGGAGCTGCAGCCTTACGGACAAGCTTCAAACCTGAGCTACTTCCAACTTCCACGGGGACAGGGGAGCAGCGGAGCGTGGTTCCACCGCTTTCCTCTCGCACCAGGCGCAGCAGCTGGGTGGCCGTGACAGTGAGGGGAGAGGCGGCTGGCGCTGCATGCGTGTTTACGTGTCTCGGATGGGTGTGGGAAGAAGAGACAGAGAGGTTCTAATGAAAAGATGGAGGGGAGAGAGAAAGAGGGGTTGGGGAAGAGGGGAAGCACCACCTTTCTTTTCTCTGCTCTTCCTGGGGATCTGAAAACTCCTCCTAACGGGTCTTTCGGGCTCTTCGGGGCCTTTGAGGAGAGCGGCTGCGCCCGCCTCAGACGAGTCCTGAGGCTGCTCGTGGCTGACGCTCGGGGCGGCCGAGGCCGCAGCGGTCTCCTCAGGCCCGGCGCCGCCGCCGGGCTCCGCGATGCTGAGGCCGCCGCCGCCGCCGCCATTTTGTGGGGAGGACTCAAGCTCCGGAAGCGCCTGCTTCATCTCGTCGTCTCCGCCGCCGCCACTTTCCCAGCTCGCATCCGTCGGCGGAGAGGCCTCCGTCTCCCCAGCAGTCGCCATCGCGCCGGCGTGAGGAGCTCCGGGAAGCTTCTGCCGGCAAGGTCGGCGGGGGTGGGGGGAAGGGGCGGCGGGCCGGCCTCGCCACCGAGCTGCTCTCAGCCCACCCACTCCCTTCCCCCCGTGGCCGCGAGCCGCGGTCCCGGCCCAGCAGCCTCTCGGGGGCCCAAAGCTGGCGCCCCAACCGTGCCGCCCGGCCCCAGGAGCCGCTCCTCGCTCGGACAGTTCTTCTGCCGGCCCCCGCCACTCAACGTGCTCGCGTCGGGGCCGGGAGGAGGCGGGCCCGCCGCGGACCGCTGCGCCAATGAGGGCGCGGCGCCCGCCTCTGCGGGTGCAGATGGACGGCGCAGGAGGGCGGAGCCTCGGGGCGCCCGAGCCCGCCAAAAGGGGCGACGGCAACGCCCTGCCAATACCTCGACGCCGCGGACCGCTTCGGAGTGGATAGAACTTAAGGCGAACTGCAAGTTCCCGGACGGCTCCCGACCAGCGGTGCAGGGGAGGGAGGTGCGCCTGGACCGGTCCCGCGAGCCCAGGCGTCGCCTATCGTAGTGATATAACCCCTATCTCGGCTCACGAGTTTCCTCCAGCAAAAGAGGAGTCAAGCAATGGATGCAGGAGAAACCCAGCTCTGTGAAATATTTACGTGCACATGTGGGCCTGGAGAGGAGATAAGACAATGGACCACAGCGAAAACAATCTGAAAGCCTCCGGGCCCCACCATCTGCCTTTCCCACCGGATCTTGCATCTTTACAATACATTCTCCCCGCCCTCTTTGATCTTAAAGGGTTAGAACCAGTGGCACCTCTCCAGACAGCAGTCAATGCCTGGGATCCTTTTTTGTTGTTGTTGTTTTTAAATTTTTTAATTTAAGACGGAGAGAAAGAGACCGAACGAGCATGCGCAGGGGGGAGGGGCAGAAGCAGGCTCCCCGCTGAGCAGGGAGCCCGACGCGGGGCTAGATCCGAGGATTCTGGGATCATGACCTGAGCCGAAAGCAGCTGCTTAACCGACTGAGCCACACAGGAACCTCCAATACCTGGGATCCTTTCGTGTGACTTCACAGCCTAGTGTTAACAAAATTTGGTTCTGGGGAGCTTAAGGGGGGGGTTGCTGGCTTCTAGACTTTTTTCCTTTGGTGTTTTGAGTTTTCCTGTATCGAGTATATATTAAAGAAAAATCTCTAAGTTTACCACCACGTTAAAAGATATACAGCAGGTGGTCGCTCGCCCTTAAAACAATTTGTCAAGTGGAAGGCATTTTAAATACTTGATGCTAACTAAATTGAAACCACTATCATGGGTTATCTTGAGTACAGACAGTATTCACAGGGTGCTTTCTATACGCCAGGCACTGGACAAAGCAGTATACGTACTGTATCTCCATTTAATCCTCACAACAACAGATATCAGGAAGATCTATTGTGCATAATTTAAGTGTTGCAAGACATTGAACAATTTAAGTTAATAAAATCAGAATTTGAAGCCAGGTCTACTTGCACTTCACTGTTTTTCTAAGACTTAATCTTCACAGCAGGACTGAACCTTTTATGAATTTTGTGGATGAAGAAATGAGGATAGATATTTTGCTCCAAGCCAGCAGGATCAGGATTGGGACCCAGATCTCCATTTTCAAACTCCAGCTGTCTCCCAAGGAGTTGACTGACCAAACCTATATAATTATAACAAAACCCTAGGCCTTGCCACATGGGTACTACTTAAAGAGCATTCCCCAAGGGCAAGAGGAAAGTTGGAGTCCTATGTCCTGTATTAAATAACATCCCAGCTAACATGGAAAACCTAATCAAGCTTGGCCAATCTATTTGCATCAGCTCAGTAAATCATAGGAAAGGGAGTTTCGATCACTCCTTTTATTAAATAGTTAATGTAAAAACCTTTTTAAATACTGATGAAAACACTAGGGGCTATGTTGAGACAAAATACTACATTATTTTTTTTTAAAGATTTTATTTATTTATTTGACAGAGAGAGAGACAGCAAAAGAGGGAACACAAGCAGGGGGAGTGGGAGAGGGAGAAGCAGGCTTCCCACGGAGCAGAGAGCCCAGTACGGGCTCGATCCCAGGACCCTGGGATCATGACCTGAGCCGAAGGCAGACGCTTAACAACTCAGCCACCCAGGCACCCCAAAATACTACATTATTTTAAGTTAAAAGTAACCTTTTTAATTTGGGGAAAGAGACTTTACTTAATACAAAAGAGGCTACAGAAGATCAGAAGAAACTCAGATGTTGAGGTCTCCAGATGGTAACTCTTTTTTGTTGGTTCGTTAAAGGCACCCATACAAGCTCATTTTTATCAGATTAAAAGATAAATAGGAACTAATTGCACGCTGGTGCCATTACTCAACTAACAGGCTTTTGTCATTTGCTCAGCAAAAGCCAACTTTACTTGAAAAGTAGAAACCCTTAGGCTATGAATAAAGCAAATACACAGGTTGTTGGTAGAGTACCTAAATCTTAGGCCAGAGAAACCATTTCTACAGAGATTGAATCTTAAATTTTGTGAGGACAAAAATTTTTTCCATTCCAAATCATTTACTTAAAAAAATTTTTTTAATGAATTTATCATTATACCTTACAAGGTACAAAAAATTGGGAAGCTCTAACATAATTTTAACTATTCAATTACTATAGATAGCAAAAAGTTTTAGGTTTAGCTGGATCGCATTACTAATATTCAATATTAAAAATATTTTTTAATTGCTTATTGGGAGCTAAGCACTGCTATGTGCTGAGGATGTAACTGAAGCAAATGGACATGGTTACCTCCATTGAGTTTACAGATCACTGGGGAATATATGTAAAATTAGGATCTATGGTGATGGCTAAGTAGAGACAGAATCAGCTATAAGAAAGGGATAGAGGGGGCATAAATTTGCTAAATCCTGCCTATCTCAGGAAAACTAACAATAAGACAGGTTATCCATATGTGTATTTATATATGCATGTATATAGATATCAAGTATATATATTTGGCAGAGGTGGGAGAATGCAAAGAGGGGAGCCACAACAGATGTACATGGTTCTGGAGCAAGGGCTACCAGTGGTTAAAAGTATAAAACCTATGTTGTCCCCTACCCACAGTAATGAACAAACAATAACACAAAGAACAGGGCGCCTAGGTGGCTCAGCTGGTTGAGCGACTGCCTTCGGCTCAGGTCATGATCCTGGAGTCCCGGGATCGAGTCCCGCATCGGGCTCCCTGCCCGGCAGGGGGTCTGCTTCTCTCTCTGATCTTCTTCCCTCTCATGCTCTCTACCATTCTCTCTCTCAATAAATAAATAAAAATCTTAAAAAAAAAAACAAAAAACATTAGAGAACAATATGAGACAGTATATAATTAAATATCCAGGGACCATAATCACCTTTTAAAACTTGGAAACAGGGCATCTGGATGACTCAGATGGTTAAGTGTCTGCCTTTGGCTCAGGTCATGATACCAGGGTCCTGGGATCGAGTCCTGCATCGGGCTCCCTGCTCCTTGGGAGCCTGCTTCTCCCTCTGCCTCTCTCTCTCTCTCTCTCTCTCTCTCTCTCTCTCTGTCTCTCATGAATAAATAAATGTTTAAAAAAAAACTTGGAGGGCACCTGGGTGGCTCAGTTGTTAAGCATCTGCCTTCGGCGCAGGTCATGATCCCAGAGTCCTGGGATCGAGCCCCACATTGGGCTCCCTTCCTGCTCCGCGGGAAGCCTGCTTCTCCCTCTCCCACTCCCCCTGCTTGTGTTTGCTCTCTCGCTGTGTCTCTCTCTGTCAAATAAATAAATAAAATCTTAAAAAAAAAAAAAAGAAAGACAGTGGCTTAAGATCACATTGCCACCAATAAGAGTTAACATTTATTGAGCACTTGCTATGTGTTAGGCACTGGTATAAAAGTTTTACATGTATTATTGCATTAATCCCCACAAAACGTACTAATGTCATCCCTATTTTACAGATAAACTGAAGCTGAGTGGTTATCTAACTTTCTTAAGGTCATTTAGATCATAAGTGGCAGAACTAAGATTCTAACCCAGGCAGTCTACCTCCAGAGCCCATGCTCTTAATAACCACTATATCATAACTTCTCTTGATAGTGATAAAACAAAGCCCAGAATTCAGTGCATTTCCCGCTATACAATTTCACCTCCCTTCCTCAAACAGTACTTTAAAAGACAAATTATAAGTGGTATAGAGTTCCTGGGTGGCTCAGCTGGTTAAGCATCTGCCTTCTTCTCAGATCATGATCCCGGGGTCCTGGGATCGAGTCCACATCAGGCTCCCTGCTCATTGAGGAGCCTGTTTCTCCCTCTCCCTTTGCTCCTCCCCCTTGCTCGTGCTCTCTCTCTCTCTCTGTCAAATAAATAAAATCTTTTTAAAAAGGATAGATTGTAAATGGTATAACAAGAATTATCAGTATTACTGATGTATAAACCTTTGATCTAGCAATTTTACTTCTAGAAATTTATGGTACAGATACACTCATTCACATTCAAAATATTTAAACATGTCTATTGTTGTTTATAATGGGATATCAAGTGTTTGTAATAGCAAAGGATTGGACACAACCTAAATATCAACCAAATGGCATATACCCATACAATGGAATACTATGCAGCCATAACAAGGAATGAAGCCCTGGTACATGCTACAACATGGATGCACCTTGAAAACATTGTACTAAGTGAAAGAAGCCAGATACAAAAGGCCATATATTGTAAAATATATCTATTCATATGAATATTCAGAATAGGCAAATCCATAGAAATAGAAAGCAGATTGTTGGTTACTAGAAGCTAGAAGTGGGGGTATTCAGGGAGTGAGGATAGACTGCTAATGAGCATGGGCTTTCTTTTCAGGGTGATGAAAATATTCTGAAATTAGACATGTTGATAGTTGCACAACTTAGTGCATATACTAACAACCACTGAATTATGCACTTTAAAAGGATGGATTTTGGGGTGCATGGCTGGCTCATTCTGTGGAATATGCAACTCTTGATCTCAGGGTCATGGATTCAAGCCCCATGTTGGGTGTAGAGCTTACTTTAAATTTTTTTTTTTAAAAAGGATGGATTTGGGGGCACCTGGGTGGCTCAGTTGGTTAAGCATCTGCCTTCGGCTCAGGTCATGATCCCAGGGTCCTGAGATCGAGCCCAGCATCAGGCTCTCTGCTCCGCTGGAGGCCTGCTTCTCCCTCTCCCACTCCCACTCCCCCTGCTTGTGTTTCCTCTCTCACTGTGTCTCTCTCTCTGTCAAATACATAAATAAAATCTTTTTTAAAAAAAGGATGGATTTTGTGATATATGAATTATATCTCAATGAAAAAATGAATAGAGGACCTACTCATTCCCTGAGGAGAGAGACTCTAAGCAGCAGAGACTCTCTCTCTCTCTCTCTCCCCCACCGCTGGCTTTGATAAAGCAAACTGCCATGAATTCTACAGCTGCCAACAACTTGAAAGCACTTAAAAGCAAATTCTTTCCTAGTGAGTCTCCAGGTGAGAATGAAGTCCAACTGACATCATGATTTCAGCCTTGTGAGACCAGGCACAGAAACCAGCTAAGCTATCCCCAGACTCTGACCTATAGAAACTGAAAGATAATACATGGATATTGTTTTATGCCACTAAGTTTGTGGTAATTTGTTATGCAGCAAAAGGAAACAAATATAGAGGCTACAATATACTTGGTGCTTTCTAAGTGCTTTGCATATGTCAAGCTTATTTAATTTTCACAACTCTATGAGGTGGGTACTCAAATGATTCCCATTTTTCGGATGAAGTAGCTCATTATGTGCTTTAAAAAAAAAAAGCAAGGTACAGAACAGGGATGGATAGAATGTTAGCATTTGCACCAGAAAAAGGGAAATATAGTTAAGTATATGAACCTATTTGCATAAAACTTTTGTGGAAAGCTACATGAGTAACTAGCAACATTGGTTTCCTGTGGGAAGGGAACAGGATCTCAAAGACAGAGATGGGAGAGACTTCACTCTATATCCTTTCTTTTTTTTTTTTTACAGATTTTATTTATTTACTTGAGAGTGTGGAGGGGCGGGGGGAGAGGGGGAAAGAGTCTTAAGCAGACTCTGCGCTGATAGCGGAGCCTGATGAGGGGCTCAATCTCATAACCCTGAGATCATAACCTGAGCCAAAACCAAGAGTTGGACACTCAACAGATTGCACCACCCAGGTGCCCTTATCCTTTAAAGCATATGAATACATTCCCTAAAAAAAAAAAAGAATGCATCCCTTACTCAAAAAAATGACTTTTTAAAAAGGGAAAGAAGATATAAAAAAGCATGCTCGGAAGCTGTCATTGTCATTACTCAGTAGCTCATGCAAGAGTAAAACTAGTCTCTTAATAATCATCCAGAAAGCTAATACAGAGATTTTAGAAGGGTCCCTATGTTTCAATCTGGAGGAATTATAAACTTCCACATGATGATCAAAGCTATTAGGTAAGTAAATAGCCAGTTACAGGATTCACACATAGTAAAACAGAAGCATTAATAATAGTACTTCTGAAGTGAACAAAATCACTAAAAAGATTGGTAGTAACAAACACCATACCTTAACATTTGCAAAGCAATTTCATGTGTCTTTTTCAGGTAATAGATGTTACTCATGCTCACCCTTCAAGGTTACACAGCTAAGAGGCTTTTTTTTTTTTTTTTTACATTTCCATTGAAAAGCAGCAGTATGGAAGGATAATGAAAGCCAATCAACAAAACCACCACTAACAGATCCAATTCATAGAACTTTAAGGATCTTAGAGATTAATTAATCCAGTCCATTCATTTTCATGTATAAAGACAGTATTACAAGGCTACAACTCCATTGCCTAGTCAGATTCATCAAAAAACATGGAACTGTCATTTCTTCCATTACACTTCAGATAAAAACACAATTCTACTTCCATGGAGTCTTCTTTCCCCGAAGTACTTAACCTGTTACTCACTAAGCAGATATTTTTCTTGAGTGTATCCCAAGTAAGTATAAGAAAGACCCTGTAGTTGTACAACAAACATGTTTGAAATTCATTCATGGTTAATGCCTGGAAGGAAAAACTTGAAAGCAATGAAGAGAAGCCTCAGTTGAAGATAATATAATTAGGGCTGAGCAAGTATGCAAGTATTGCTTCAACTACACAGCTGACTCTGGTAACCACAAATATCAACTAAACCCAGGAGTCAAGAGCTCTTACTAAGTTACTGTTTTTGTTTCATTTCTGAGTCAAACCCTTCTAAGGCTTCTGTTAAATTTAATACTGTGGATGAATCTCACAAGCACAATGTTAAATGAAGTGAGTCCAGATACAAAAAGAGTATGTTATAGGATGATTCCATTTATATGAAGTTCAAGAACAGGCAAGAAAAATCTATGGTGATAAGAGAATAGCGGTTTCCTTGTGCGTGGCTGGGAGAAGGTGTTGACTCAAAGGGGACATGACGAACTTCCTGGAATGATAGAAATGTTCTGTATCTTGATCTGGGTGGTTGTTATACAGTGTATACATACGTAAATATTATCGAACTGTACATTTTACAGTTGTACATTTTACCCTATGATGTTATTCTTCAATTAAACAAACAAAAAAACTCTTCTGAGGGTTCTCATTATTCAAGGGATAAAGATAAGAATTCTTCACGTGGCCCATAGAGCCTTGCTGATTCTGACCCTTCCATCTGCACTCCTCTTCCCTAAGCCCCTCCTCGGTGCTTCCTCAGTCTGGTACACCTGCCAAGCTCCCCTGGCCACATGATCAACTGCAGCACATGTTGTTTCCACAGTGCGGTGCGCCAGCATTAGCTCTGCACTTTGGTTCAAGCTTCCCTTCTTGTGTAAGCTTCCTTGATCATCTAGATTGGGTTCCCCTGTTTGGTGCTTTCATAGAAACTTGTTTCTTGCACCCAATTTACTTCCCACTTCCGTCAATCTAATTACTCCCACATTTGTGGCATTATTTAATCTAATCTATCTCTCCCAGTGGACCCTATGGTCCACTCCATGAGCTGAGGGGCAATATCTGGGTTTGCTTACCATAGTATTCCCAGGGCCTGGCGGTGCCTGATACACAGTAGGTGCTTACTAGGTATGTTTTGACTGCTGAGGACAAAGAGGGTGGCATCTGGCATTTTCTGGCTAGAAAATTGCTAATATCTCACATTACCCAATTTGGATTTACCCCATTAAGTGTTTACTGGTATAGCTTGCTTTATGCCAACTGGATTCATTGTATGAGAATCTGAATTTACTGAAAATATAAATTAGGGCATGTCTAGCAAATGCCCTTTAAATGATCTATACAAATTCACAGTGTCTGGTATTGCATTTGAGAAGACAGATGAACTTCATCCGCCAAATCCAGTACTTGTTGAAATCAAAAGGATTTAACAGTGAGAAGTGATTGTTGTGTCATATCAGCTGGGGGACCGGTACAGACCTCGTTATAAAATCATTTATATATGGGGCGCCTGGGTGGCTCAGGTGGTTGAGCGTCTGCCTTCGGCTCAGGTCATGATCCCAGAGTCCTGGGATGGAGTCCCATATTGGGCTCCTTGCTCAGCGGAGAGCCTGCTTCTCCCTCTGCCCTTCCCCCTGCTTGTGCTCTCTGTCTCTCTTAAATTAATAAAATCTTAAAAAAAATCATTTATATCACTGCCACTTCCACCTGAAGACTCAGATTTATACTAACTTTGCATTGCAGACTTCTCTAAGAAGGAGGAGGGTGCCGAGGAAACAAGTCAAACAAAGAGAGAAAAAAAAAGGTTTAAGAGGAAGTGGTATACTGCAAAAGTGCAAGCAGTGGTGAAATGTGTGAAAAAAATTCAAGTTAAAAATCTTTGTTTTTATGTTTTTTAGAATAAGGGAAGGTGAAAGAACGCCGTGTAGGAGTTCATGTTTTCAGAATACAACCCATCGTGCCACTCAAGGTGAAGACTGAATAAATTGGAAGAAAAGGTTAATAATACAGAAAGAACATTTGAATAACTCCTTACAATTTACCAAACGCTTCATTCATTTTCTCAACATATACTTCTTGGAATCCTCTCTGCTACTAGGCCCCAGGCTGGGCTTCTGGGTGTATCGCTGAAGACAAAGCAGATCCATCCTGACGCTGGGTTTAGCATGTGGTGCTTCCCATTACCTCATTTCATCTTCATAGAAGTTGTCAGAGAAACACTGCCACTTTGGGCGTTGGAGGAAATGGTGGCTTACAAGTCTTACAGAAGGAAACACCACCAAGAAGGGATGGAACGGGACCCAAATTTGCATCTCCTAACTCCAATTTCAGGCTTTTGCAACCTCATAAAAGCAACTTGCTGGTCGGCCTCTGGGATCTGTAGTTTGTTAATCAAGGCTCTCGAGAAATGACGGAGGTACAGCACTTTCAGTCCCTCTCCAGTGTGGCCTTTCTTTTCTATTTTTTGTCTCTCTATTCTCCCAGGGCAGTAGGAAACTTTCCACCAAATCCCTTACAAACACAAGCTTCTTTCATTTTTACTTCTTTTTTCTTTTTTTTAAGATTTATTTATTTGAGAGAGAGAGCGCGCGTGCATGAGCAGAAGGGGCAAAGGGAGAGGAAGAGAGAACGTCAAGTGATTGCTACACTGAGCCTGAGCCCCATACGGGGCTCGATCTCACAACCCTGAGATGACAACCTGAACTGAAACCAAGAGTCAGATGTCTTAAGCAACTGTGCCACCCAGGCGCCCCACATTTTTATGTTTCTAATGGCACCTACAGATTTGTAGATGGTTTTTAGACAGAAGCAAATCACTCATCCAGTTTCCTTAACTGACCAGAAACTGAATCAAGAGCCTTCCCTTTTACATCACATGACTCAGGTTACTGCTCTATTATTTGGTGCTTCATACAATACAGAAGCATATTCACACTGACTTTAACTTTGGACATTTTCTCCCCAATCCATAAAAGCCTAGTAATAAAAGATGCATTTGACAGGACTTTTTCCTTCATAGTAAATACCGATTTTCAAAGAACATTATTGGGGTGCCTGGTGGCTCAGTTGGTTGAGCCTCTGACTCTTGGTTTCAGCTCAGGTCATGATCTCAAGGTCGTGAGATTGAGCTCCACGTGGGCTCCATGCTCAGCACAGAGTCTGCTTCGGTTTCTTTCCGTCCCCCTTTGCCCCTCCCCCGCATGTGTGTGCTTGCACACACACCCTATCTCAAATAAATAAATAAATAAATAAACAAACATTATTAGCAAATGTCTATCAACTGATGAATGGATGAACAAAATGTGATATTCTCTATACAACGGAATACAAAGGAATGAAGAACTGGTACGTGCAACGAAGATGAGCCTTGAAAACTGCTAAATGAGAGAATTCAGTCACAAAAGGCTGCATTTGTATGATTCCATTTATATGAAATGGCCAGTATAGGGAAATCTATAGAGACAGAAAGTACATTTGTGGTTACCTGGAGCTGGGGGCATGGGTGGATTTAGGAGTGAAAGCTAAAGGGTAGGGTTTCTTCTTAGGATGACAAAAATGTTCTAAAATTAAATGTGGTGATTATACTAAAGACTGTGAATTGCATGCTTTAATAATTCAGTGGTATGTGAATGATATCAAAACTGTTTTTTTTAAAGGAAATTGACAAAGTGGTCCACTAAAACTTGGGGGACATAGTTTTTCAGGCATACGATGTAGGAAGTTATTTTGACCTCCAACCACTGCTTACATCCGGGTTGACTATGTAAAGGTAACTGAATAAATAATTTTCTATGTTTTCTCTTCAAAGCAAAAGAACACTAGAGTCTACCAATACAGTGGCAGCATAATGTAGATATAACAGCTGAGATACAGTCTGGGTCAATGAAGGCAGCAATAATTAACATCTATACCCTATTCACATCTATATCCAGTCATTATAATATGTGCATATATAAGTAGCAAAAGTGCTGGCTGGGTCTTTTCTTGATTTTTATATTTTAAAATTTTTTATGAAAGTTAATTAATACTAACCTCTATTAAAAAACATTAAACAGAAGTCCTTATGAATTATCAGTATAAAATATTCCAGATTATTTTCCCCCAAAAAATACGTTTTACCTATTTAACATAAAAGTTAGATTATTGTTTGGCTTTATTTTATTTTTTTTTAAGATTTTATTTATTTATTTGAGAGAGAGAATGAGAAAGAGAGAGAGAGCACATGAGAGGAGGGAGGGTCAGAGGGAGACGCAGACTCCCCGCTGAGCAGGGAGCCCAATGCGGGACTCCATCCTGGAATTCCAGGATCATGACCTGAGCTGAAGGCAGTCGCTTAACCAACTGAGCCACCCAGGCACCCTATTGTTTGGCTTTAAATACCTTCATTTAAACGTCGTTTTCCATAATATCCCCAAACACACACACAAAAACATGTTTATGCCAATTATTCTTCCATTTAATGTAAAAAATTCCTGGCTAGAAGAGATTTGCAAAAATAGAACTTTACAAAAAATATGACTTAGAGTTTTAGTACCCCCAAGTGTCTCTGAAAAGATAGGCAACTAATTATTATAAGTTTTCTTCTAAGAAGACTTTGGGGAACCAGCCAAGTTTAAATAGGGTAATTGGTAGGTCTATAGTTGCAATTTACATAAATTATAGAAACATAACACCAGACATTTATCTAATTGAAGAAAATGTGGTGTTCAGTTACTTATCTAGAGGAATCCTACTTGTGGTTTGTGCCATTTGGTGATCAGTCCATTCTCCTGAGACTCTAAATATGTTTCTCTGGGGACAGCATATGGTAATAATGTTTCAAAATTCATTTTGCTTTACTTCGCAAAAGCTCAAAATATATATTAAATATAAAATACTATTCATATATATTTTTGAATAAAAATAGCATTAAAATAATATAACTCCATAATTCCTTTACAAGATGTTTATCCACATCCCTACTGGAGAGGTTGATTAGTTACACTCACCATTATGTCCTGCTGCTTTTTTAAATGCTAACAAATTCATCACTTCTCCTAATCAATCTATCATAGGTCCTATGTCCCTTAGTTGAGTTTCTGTTTCCTATAAATAAAATAAGCAATGTAAGACATTTAATATTATCAAATGTTTCCCAATATTTCTTGCACTCTGTAAGTATGAAGTTACCATCTCTACAAAAAGTCTATTTGACAGATCTTACATTTCTGTAGAATTGCACACCAGAGAATGTATCCCAGATATTTAAGCTTCATAAATTATCCATAGCAAAATTCTACATCCCTCTGTCTGAGGTGGAGTCAAATTGCAAGTTTTATCATACAAGCACATTTTAATGCCTCAAGCAACCTCCAAACACAGCCAGTCTACAATAACCTAGGAAATTTATAAGACAGGAGAATGCTTCATACCCTCACAGTGGGACACTGATCATTTGGAGCTTACCACACTCATGTTACTGGTACTCATTTACTAAACCCATTTAATTATTTAGCAACTAGTTATTGAATAGTATGTGTTTGCCAGGAACTGTATCTGATGCAGAGGATTAACATAAGGCATAGTTGCTGCTCATAATTAATAAAGCAATCAAGCAAAGGAGACCATCCAGTACAAACTCACTGAGTTAGCAAAAGCCAGAGATGAGGAGGAAGTGAAGTGGCAGGGAGCATGACAGGAAGCCTGGTAGAGAGGACAGTGAGGGAAAAATGGCCAAAGATACTAATGTGAGAAGCAAAAAAGGTTTATGCAGCCGGAAAGCACAGTTGGCTCTTGTGTTGGAATACAGGGTGAGACAGGAAGTCAAGAAGCAGGCTGAGCCGAATCACAGAAAGTCACATATCCTGAAGGCAAGAGATAAGAACTTAAAGACTTAAGTAGAGACTGGCCCAATCAGATGTGCATTTTCAGCAGATCATTCTGGTTCTTGTTATTGAAGGTGGATTTTAGAGAGAGAACACCAAGGCAAGAAGACCAGTTAGGATACTGTTGTTAAAATCTAGGTGAGAGAAGGCTTAGACCCTCACCAGCCTTGGTGGCTATCAGACGATATAAACCAAGGTTGTGTCACAGTGTGAGAGAATTTCAAAGGGAAGTAAAGAGATGGAAGAAATAAGTAATAGTTACGAAGGAAGCTGTTGCTGTTCTCCCTGCCACCATATTCCTTTAAAAAAAATGATAGTAACCTAGAATTCACCAAAAGGACCAAGTAGTAAACCATAAAGTGACGTTGCCAGGTGTTTTTAAGTAGGCTGTATAAAGGATGAAAACCCTAACAATTCACAATTCAGATGCAGAAGACACTACAATAGTTTACAAATTTCAAGCTAGTTACACCCCCTATGAAACATTAGAAGGTATTTCCCTATTGGAACTGCGTAACAGAGGACCATAGGGTTTGAAATGGAGTGATACAGCACAAAAGTTTAAGAGCAGATAGTGAGAAGAC